AGCCTCGGAACCACAAGGTCCCACGGTAAGGGCCTCCTCCATGGCCATGGCTGGGTATTCAAGCCACCCTGACCCTCAGGGTTCCTCATCCCACATGCTGTATCCAGGTGGCAGCGTCACAAGAACACCAGGGCTTCCCAGAGCAGGAAGCCAGCAAATCAGCTTTAAGGAAGCTAACCGAAGAGGTACACTGGGCACTACCCACTGGCTCAAAACTGAGCATCCTACCCAAAAGATCAAGGGTCAGATTACCCCCACATGGGGGTCGCGGGTTACTGTTATTTCTAGGTGCAGGGTCTGCGGCTGTACTTGGAGGAAATGCAACCCTGGATAACAGCAATTCCCAGGCAGTCCGTGCAGCCCTGGGGGCGTCCAAAGGCTCCCACCCAGGGCCCCAACTCCGCGGCTGCTGGGAGCCCCAGCGAGCGGCTGCGGGCCCTGCAACGCACTCACACAATACGCGCGGCAGAGACAGAGGCACGGAGCCTCGCCCTGGAGCTACGCGGCGAAGGTGAGGCGGAAGGGATTGCAGGGAGCGGGACGAAGTACTCACCCGTTGGTCTGAGGTTGCTTGAACCCATTCTCACTCGGTCCCTTAGAACTGAACCGGCGCCTCCAAGGTTTGGCCCGCAACCGGGGCGGTCTGTCACGCCTATTAGGCCTGGAGCGGGAGCTTGTAGAACTCCGGGCGGAGGCCGGGCGGACCAGGGGAGCGCTGGAGGTGCTAGGAACGCGCGTTCAGCAGCTACAGTCTGAGCCCCGGTGAGATCGGCGCGCAGGAGCCCTGGGCGCCGCATGGGTCAGCCAGCAGGCCCGGGTCTGGGGAGCCGAAAAGGGGGGGCGGAGGGGTGGCAACGCGGACAAAATGTAGGTTCGGAAGCAGGGGGAAGAAAGCCCGTGTGAGTTCGGGATGGGGCGATCGGCCGCAGGTGAGGATCAATAACAACGTCTCTCCGTGGGTCGCCCCCAACTCCAGGACTGAGCAGAACTCCTTGCAAGGGGCAGAACTCTGTTGGCCGGTGCTACAGTCCAACCCAGGGACTCTGGCTGCTGAGATTGGGTGAGTTCTGGGCCCGAGGACGGGCATTGGGCGAAGCACTGAGCAGTCTTGTAAAGATGTTGTCGCCTTCTTGTCCCCTTCTCACTAGGGCCCTGCGTGAGGCCTACATTCGAGGTGGGGGTCGGGACCCCGGCGTTCTGGGCCAGATATGGCAGCTGCAAGTGGAGACATATGCTCTGGAGCTTCGACGGTCACGTACCCACAGGGGTGAACAGGAGGGGCCAGCCAGGAGGGTCTCACGGAAGCGGTGGTCTTGGTCTTGGAAAGAGAAAAGGGCGGTGAGGGAGGGGATGTTTGGCATGGGAACCACCTAAGCAAAGGCTCTGAGATAGAAAACCTGGGTGGCCTTTGAGGCAGTGACTAGGATGTTAGCCAAGAAGTCCACCCTCTCCGGGGAGTCCTAAGGCCTGAGAGCTGCTCAGAACTGGATTAAGATGGTCACCAGCAGTCAAACGTGACAGGTCAGACTTGTTCATCACAGGAAGGCGGGCAGGTTCCACATCTGGGAAACTTGGAGCAGTGGAGACTGAAAACCAGCGTCTGGAGGCAGAAATCCTGGCTTTGCAGATGCAGAGGGGTGCAGGCCGAGCACCCTGGGGTCAGTGAGCATCCCAGTCCCACCCCAGGCTTGGAGGAAGGCGTTAGGCTATGCATGGGTAATGAAAGCGTGTTTGTGCCCATCTGTCTGTGTCCATGTGCACCTCCGGGGGGTGGGGTGGGGGTTGGTTCTCAGGCAGGGTGTCTCAGTCCAGTTACTTGTTGCTTCCTGCTCAGGAGCTCCCTACTCTTCTTCTGCATCTAGGGTCCCGAGAGCCACAATTTGTGGCCAATCCCAGCCTGCGCCTGAGAAGGGAAGATCCCCCATGCCTCCCACCGCCGGTAGCTCCCCCGCTGCCACCACTTCCACACTCCACAGGCATCCTATTCTTGGGTGGCACAGAAAAGACTGTGAGGACCCAGGGGTTGGGTGGGGGCAGCTCTGCTCTGGGTAGTGGGGAAGCGTAAGTATCCAGGAAGCTTTCTAGAGTACTCAACTCTTGCCCACAGCCACAGCTTCCTGGAGCCATGAGCAGGAACCTGGGCCTAGGTCCACACTTTGTCCTGCCCCCAGCTGATGTTCTGGGCCCTGCTCCCTACGACCCTGGGTGAGGCCTGCTCCCTCCTTTGGCATCCTCTGTGACTTGGTCAGCACTGCTGGTAACGGTCCAGCTAGTGTTGGGGAACGGCTAGGGGGGTGGAAGGGTGGTGAGAGGAATGTGTGTGGAGGCTCACTGAGACCTGTGTTCCCAGGGCTGGCCTGGTCATCTTCTATGACTTCCTGCGGGGCCTTGAGGCTTCTTGGACTTGGGTGCAACTAGTGACTGTCTTGGCCCGAGATGGACGGGATATAGGAGGGACCACAGCTTTGCCCCCAGCCCTTTGTTTGCCCCCTCCTCCAGCTCCTGGGCCCATGGGCAACTGTGCCATCCTTGCCAGCAGGCAGCCTGTACCCAGGTCAGTAGGTGGGAACGATGATTTCGGTATCCCTTGCCGTAAGTTTTCTCGTTTGTATACAGGGCTACTGGCTCTGAAGGCCAAGTTCTAGGAAGGGAGTAGAACCAGTTCTGGCTTCTGACACCTCTTTTTAATTTCATTGTTTTAGACTCCCACCCTCACCATCACTATCCCTGGTCTGTGAGTTACAAGCCTGGCAGGGGCTGGCAGGGGCTAGGGCACCACAACCAAAGGCCTGGGCCTCACTGGTGCTCTTTGACCGGGATCAGAGGGTACTTAGTGGCCGTTGGCGTCTCCCACTTCGGGTCCTTCCTCGGGATCCCAGCCTTAGCCTTGGGCAGCTGAATGGAATTCCCCAGGTGAGTGTGGAAAATGGAGAGTGGGCCAACTCAAAGGTATGGATACAGTATCATTTCACCTCTCCCCAGGTAGGTCAGGCCGAGCTCTTTCTGCGGCTGGTGAATGCAAGAGATGCAGATGTACAAACACTGGCAGAGATCAATCCAGCCAGTGCACACGAGTACCAGTATCCACCTCTGGTGAGGGCTCAACTAGAGCTGGGGACACCATGGGTATGGTCGGTGTGGTAACAGCCAGCCTTTGTTGACCACTATGTGCCAAATGCTTCCAGTGGCTTGTGACCCTCACACATCCAACAGGTTAGTATGTGAACAGATAAGGAAATCGGAGCAGAGTGGGGTTAACTTGGTTCAGTTGACTCTAAGGTAGTCCAGTCCAACTCCAGAACCTGTGCTCCTAACCTCTACATAAACCTGCTAAACATCTGTCTTCTCTTCTACAGGTGCCCAGCTCAGCTTCACTGGAAGCCAACTCCCTTGCACCACCAGCTGGCTTTGTTGACCCCCCTCCTCCTGCAGAAGAACCCCTTGACAGCAGAGTCAAGGGTAGAGATGAAGGCTTGGGCCCCACCAGCTCTGACCCATCCCCACTGGCTTTCTGAATCCAGAATGTGGACATGAAATAGTTCAACACGTACAGGACTAGTTCTTAATTGGGGCCTATTTCCAGACCTACAGCTTTACTACTGTTCTGACAGAGGGTCTAGAACAGGGGTGGGCAAACTTTTTGACTTGAGGGCCACAATGGGTTCTTAAACTGGACCGGAGGACCGGAACAAAAGAATGGATGGAGTGTTTGTGTGAACTAATATAAATTCAAAGTAAACATCATTACATAAAAGGGTACGGTCTTTTTTTTTTTAGTTTTATTCATTTCAAACGGGCCCGGCCGGTGGGCCGTAGTTTGCCCATGGCTGGTCTAGAAGCAAAACGCAGATGTGCACAAAATGTGAGCTCCAACCATAGCTTTACCACCTTAAGGCTAAAACTATCTGGCCTTTACCTGTTTTCCCTTTGTAAAACAAATTGATGAGAGGATTAAACATTGTCAGGTATTTGCAGTATCATCTGGTATATAGGAATTTCTTGGAAAGGTGACTGAAGGAGCACTCTTTAATCAAAGCTTTGTTTGTTTTTCCTGAAAATCAGTTTTATTGGCACACTTCATTCAAATCCAAGTTTTCTCAAGACATCCCCCAGGAAGCCTTGCAGGTTCTCAACAGATCTTGTAGCCATATACTAGTGGCCCAGTGCACGAAATTTGTGCACATTAAAAGGGATTAGAGGAGCCGAAACCGGTTTGGCTCAATGGATAGAGTGTCGGCCTGCAGACTGAAAGGTCCCAGGTTCGATTCCGGTCAAGAGCATGTACCTGGGTTGCGGGAACATCCCCAGTAAAAGATGTGCAGGAGGCAGCTGATCGATGTTTCTCTCTCATCGATGTTTCTAACTCTCTCTCTCCCTTCCTCTCTGTAAAAAATGAATAAAATATATTGGGGGAAAAATTATATTAAAAAAAGGGATTAGAGGAAGTATTTTAATATTGCTATTTGCTCTTTCTCTATAATAGAAGTGTCTTAAGATGAAAGAAAATTAGTAAAATGTATATGAAAATTTCCTTCCTGTCAGAATCTGGGGTGCACTGTGGGACCCAGAGTCAAGTCCCTACCCACCCACGCACGCCTTGAAATCATACGAGACTCATACCCAGCCCGCCCCACCCCCGTCAAGCCCCATAAGGCGGTGGGTGGGTGGGTGGGGTGCGCAGCCTCAGGTCCCCCAGCCCCGATGCAAGGGCACAACGACCATTTGCAGATTAGCTCTATTATAATCTGGAGATAAATAGTGCCCAATGCGAAACAGGTTTTTAAATTAAGAGTCAGGGTCAGAGTCACATGCAGCTCTGCCAATCTCACACAGCTCTGTGCCTTGGACATCACTGAGGACCTAAATGGGATTTTGGTACTAGATCCCTAGTAGAGTTACTGCCGTTCAACCATAATTCCACACAGAAATGCTCCAAAAAGCCCAGGACCCCACTCTAAAATCTTTAAACACAAGTCCAGACCAGGAGTGTTTTTTTTTTCTTCCAGGAGTGTTTATTTGAGAAGTCAAAACTGCAGATGGGTAACAATTCCAAGTGTTGATATAGTTCAACCTTTCTGTACAGAAAATAACATATCTCAACCAGCCAGCCTCCCCAGATTCTTCCAACCACACCCAAAGTGTCCATCATGGTCAGTCCCTTAGCCACTTTCAGTCCAGAAAGCTCAATTCTCTACAAGCAGCATACCAGTTTTCCTCAAAGTTTTTTTCCCAGGACAGGATCATGGCCCTAGTTAGAGTAGGGGAATAATTAAAGACAGGTACCACCCAAGGCCTGGCTTAGGGGCTGTTATCAGCTCACAGAGCCCATCACACAGTATAAGCACCAAAGAGTAAGATTGTCACCAAGTCTTGTTTTTGTAGCCCCCATTCAGGGACAGCACCACCAAAAGTTTGCAAGACAGCTGCGTTCTATCAAGTATTTAAAATGGAAAAAATATAGCACCATTGGCCAGCAGCCACACTCGATTTGATCACATCTACATTAAATAGAAATTTGGATTAGAACATTCAACAGAAAGGGGGGAAAAGTACTTTTAATCACTATATAAAACCAATGTGCTTCAAGGCACAGATTCAGTAAGTATGTAAGAAAAAAGCCATCAAAGCCTCAACCTTTGCATACAATCTTTATTGAAGTTATACAAAATCCCCCAAAAGTGAAAAAATACATTATATACAAAAACACTTTCCCTTGGGAGGAAGGCTCTGTTCCCTCTTAACATGCAGTGCTTTCAACTGTAGCTGCAGCCTCCACTGTCCCCTCCACTGCTGCCCGGCTGTCAGCCTGATTCTCAGCCTGGAAGATAAACAGGGAGCCTGGGCATAAGTCACCCTTGTTCAAGCCATTCCATCTTATACAACTGAGTAGGCCTCAGTCAAAACAAATCCCCTAAACTCTACCTTAACCTTATTCCCATACTAAAAGGGCAATGACCAAAGTATAAATCCAATTTCTTAACACTCTGTAATAGGGCTGACAGAGCCAATGTTCATACATTACATGGAAAGAAGCAAGCAGAAGTGACCCAAGGTCTTGACAAGTAAGCCTTCTCATACATTCACAGAGCAGGACTCATGGTGTGTATATAGGTTCCATTGGCCAGTGAGATGTCCTATAGTCCATACCAAACTGTTTCCTGAATAACCTCAATGTTTTTATGAAGGTTACACTCAAGCAATCCAAACAGGCTCAAGGTGGGGAACATGCACTTGGGAGGACTGGTTTCCCCAGGCCCTGAGAACAAGGGGAAATGAGCCAAGAGTCCAAGCCCTGCTTTAACTGCCCACCTCCTCCTCCATGTTTTCAGAAACTTCATTTCCACTGGAGACTGCATCCCCACTGCCTCCATTCACCTCCGGCTCTTGTTTGGCTTTCTTTGCATCATCTTTCCGGGGACTCTCTTCCTCCGGTTTCCGCTAAAGATATAATTGTAAAATCTTCAACAAACGTGTTTAATGTTTTTAAAATGACACTTCTTTAACACCCCTCTCCCTGTCATATGCAAAGAGCCCGAACAGGAGTCATAGCTCTTAGGGTCTTTCTCAACCCACAGGAGGCAAAGCAGAATAAATTGGTCTGTCCCAACATACCAATTCAGCCTCTCTAATGGAAGGGTGGGGTGGGTGTGAGTAGTAGATCTGAACAGTAACCAAATCACAAGTTTAATATACTAAATTTGAGTCAGGAAATAAAGCAGGATTTAGACTCTCTCACAAGAGAAAACTATTGCAACCAAAGGCAAAAGGCAGACTCACAGGATTTTATCAGAAGGACTGCTACCAAATGACTTGAAAGAAAACCTGCCGGTTTACTAACAGGAGCCAATCTGACCAATCCTCCTCAATAGCTTTCCGGGTGAGTCCTTGGGCCAGGTGAGTTTTGCTTTAAGAGGTATGCAAGGGAAAAGTATCTCTTTAAAAACTGACTTTAGAGACAGGAAGAGAGAGAGGGAGAGGAAGAGAAACATCTATTTGTATTTACTTATTTATTCATCCCTTGGTTGATTCTTGTAAGTGCCCTGGCTAGGGATTCGACTAGCAACCCTGGCACAGTGGGACGACACTACCAACTGAGCTACCTGGGTAGGGATGAAAACTATCTTTACTTGCAAATCCTTACCACCTTTGCAAATATCTTTGCACCAGGAAAGGTATTCCTTGTGTATTTGGAAAAAAGAAAAGAAATGATCACATGTAAATTTACCTTTTTTCTGACAAGGTGGGAAATATCAGTCACACAATTTGATGAGGAAGCACCATCTGTTGATTTTCTACTGGCAATCTGACAAAAAGGAAACCTTTGTTAGCAATGAATAGCTAGCCACATGAGACAAAGAATGAGGTCTAATATTAAAGAGACAAAACAAAAAACCTGAATACTCACCATGGAGACTGACGAGCCTCCTACACTAGGAGTGAAACCTGAAGTAGCGCTCTCTACCTGTGAAGATGACAAACTGCAGTGGGTCCCAGGATAGAAGCCATCGGGTCACCCACAGGCTTACAACCGGTACCCACCATCAAAGCAACTGATTAAGACCTCAAATAATAGTGGCCCCATATAGCAGCAACACTGTCTACCCCCTCTACCTATGCCTGTTACCTGCCAGACCCAACCTGGGGTATACAGACAGAGTGTTGAAATTAAACCAAGCCTTGGCCGGTTTGGCACCCTGATTAGAGTATCAGCCTGTGGACCCAAGGGTCTGGGTTTCGATTCCCAGCCAAGGGCATATACCTGGGTTGCAGGGGAGTGTGCAGCAGGCAACAGATCAATGTCTCTCTCTCACATCAATGTTTCTCTCTCTCTAAAAATGAATGGGGAGCCCAGCTGGCGTGGCTCAGTGATTGAGCGTTGAACTATGAACCAGAAGGTCACAGTTTGATCCTGTGTGGGGTGTGCAGCAGGCAGATCAAAGATTCTCTCTCATCATTGCTGTTTCTATCTCTTTCCCTTCCTCTCTGAAATCAATAAAAAATGTATTTTAAAAAAATGAATGGGGAAAAAATATCCTTGGGTGAGGCCTAACTAAAGAAATTAAACCTGCCCTGCCGGTTTGGCTCAGTGGATAGAGCATTGGCCTGCGGACTGAAGGGTCCCAGGTTTGATTCCAGTCAAGGGCACATGCCTGGGTTGACTGCTGGGTCCAACGTGTAACGTAGGAGGCAGCTGAGTAATGGTTCCTTCTCATCATTGAAGTTTCTATCTCTCTCTTCCTCTCTGAAATCAATAAAAATATATTAAAAAAGAAAAAAAATTAAACCAAATCCTCCATATCCTATCATCTTGACACCCTAGCACCAAAAGGCAGAGACAGGCAATCTGGGGTTAAAAGCCTTCAAACACCTCACTAATCTATACAGAGGAATTCTCAAAGCTGGACACAACCGTTTATAGTTATTAAACAAATACTATTTGTCTTACACCATTAGAAATGTCTTAACATCAAGTACTATTTTCATCCCCATTTTACAGATCAGACAACTAAGGCAAAGAAAAGTAAACACGCTCATGGTCATATATAGTAAACAGCAAAGATAAGAGTCAAATGCAATCTGGAGTGTATTGTCTTAAGCATTATACTATCTGATAGGAATATCTAGACGAGTTCTCACGTTCCCTCTGACTTCCAACTCCGTGGAAACCATGTTATACCTAAGATTCCTAGCCAACAGAACACTAATACCACAATGCCTTCAACAATATCGAACATGTTATTATCAAAACTCGAAAAGGAAACCAAACCAACCAGAGTTGCTTTTAGAGCCAATTCAGCTACATTCCCACTATGCTGGGACTCCTTTGCATCTTCTATCTTCTCTCTAATTTCAGGTAGCAGTTCCTTCAGCTCCTCAATTTCTTTCTCATATTCAGTACGTGATCCTTCAGCCTCCTTCATCTGCTCATGGAGTACAGCTACAACGGTTGAAGTGATCAGTAAATTACCATGAAAAGATTCACTTTTACCTAATTACTGGATTCATCAAAATCATTGTGAAAACAGCTGATGCTCACTCACCCATTCTCTTCTCAATGACTTCAATAGATTTGCCAAACTGTGCCACTGCCTCATCATACTGAGAGTTGTACCCATAGGCCAAGCCCAACTGGTAGTGGGTTTCTGCAAGGAGACGGTCATGGGCTTCTAGGTACTGCTCTTGCAGGTTTAGGCAAGCCTGGAATTCCTCCACAGCTTGGACATAATTCTCTAATGAAGAGAAAACAATAACAAACATTTAATACTATAGTACTTCTAAATTTTAGACTATTCTGGGGGAATGCTCCCCAATTTACATTTCATGTTCCTTGATTATAAAAAAAAAAAAAACACATCAAAATGACTAAGACTTTCAGTTAGAGTGACTTTTAGGAAAGACTATTCACTGTTCTAGGGACTATAGGGACCCACACCTACTGTCCTTTTAAAGCCAACCGCCCATAATTTATGATCAAGCTTGATTTAAAGGAATTTGAGCCCTGACCCATTTGGCTCAGTGGATAGGGTGTCGGCCTGCAGACTGAAGGGTCCCAGGTTCAGTTCCAGTCAAGGGCATGTACATTGGTTGCGGGCACATCCCTAGTGAGGGGTGGGGGGCGTGCAGGAGGCAGCTGATCGATGTTTCTCTCTCTCATCGATGTTTCTAATTCTCTATCCCTCTCCCTTCCTCTATGTAAAAAAAAAAAAATCAAAAAAATATATTTAAAAAAATAAAGGAATTTGAAAAAGACCGGGTGGGAGTACATTAGGGGAAGAGTAAAATGGAAGATGTATTACCAGATTCAACACTAACTTCTCCAAGTTTAAGATGTGCCTGTGCAGCATAAAGCTGAGCTTCTTTTGTTTCTTGCCTAAAACAAGGAAATATGGTCAGAAACCTTAACAGAATTTGTCCAACCATAACTAGGTTCTATTTGCAACCACCAACTTCCCAATCTGAGCCTAGAACAGTGGTTCTCAACCTTCCTAATGCCGTGACCCTTTAATACAGTTCCTCATGTTGTGGTGACCCCCAACCATAAAATTATTTTTGTTGCTACTTCATAACTGTAATTTTGCTACTGTTATGAATCGTAATGTAAATATCTGATATGCTATATGTGTTTTCCGATGGTCGCGACCCATAGGTTGAGAACCGCTGGCCTAGAAGCACTAAAGAGTTTTACCTTTTAAAAATGATCTTTGCTAAATCCAGCATATCCCAGGCAAGCTCTAGGTTCCCAATCTCCTCCTCTTCATTTTCTTGAAGTGACTACAGTATATCCAAATCATTGGTATTAGGCAGAAGTACAAGACAGGCATCTTTAGATTACAAACCTAAATAGGTAATTTAGTATGGCTTAAAAAAACCTGACATATGATTCAAAATTCAGACTTTTCCCTAAAACCTACAGCGGGTCTTAACAATGAGATCAAATGGATGTCTAGACATGAATAGTCACAAATATACTAACTAATAAAACTACAGCCCTAAAATAAGGAAGCAAAATATATTGAGCAAATGATTACCTTGTTTTCAAGAACTAAATCATTTGGTGTTTCTTCAGCCTTGTCATTTTCTTTATCCTCTTCTTCTGAGCCCTCAGTTTCTGCAAGCAAAAATTCCTCAGTATTGAGAATACTAAGGTATCTTTTGGCTAGTCAGATTCCAATAAGCATCTGTGAAATAACCTATATTCTGGGGTAGGACAGGCCCGATGCTAAGGCAAACCAACCAACATTTGAACTGGCTGATATAAATAAGGCCAGGGATTAGTCTAATTCAGGTCTTATCTTGTAGTGTCTATAATTCAGACCTTCAACAATCAAATGCTAAGTGTTTATTTTCTAAAAGTTAATCTAGATCAGGGGTGAGGAAGGTCCAGCCTGTGGGCCTGTATAATGCCTCAGAAATCACTTCGTCTGGCCTTCCCAAGGTAATTGCAGGCAGGACTGGAAACTCAACAAATAAACTTCTTTTCATAGCAACATAAATTTATATTAAGTGAATTATATTAAGCAAATGATGTTATAATGACCCTTGGCAGGAAAAAAGAGAAAAGGTTTCCCACCCCTGATTTAGATCACTCAGATGAAGACAGTTTAGGTACTGCCTCTTGTTCAATGTCAACAACTTCCCATATACTCAGCCAGAAGCAATTTGGAAGCATCTTTAGCCAGTGTTCCTGGCATCTTTAAGCTCCTTTTTAGCTAATACTACGAAAAAGCTGAGAAAGTACTAAAAGTTAATATTCTCTACTTCATTCAGAGCAAGAATACTGAACAGACTAGCTTTCCCACAATGGAGCTGTGGAGAGAAAAGCATAGCCTTTACCAACTCTCACCAGTGAGCATGTCACAGACTCCAGCCAGCTTTAGCATGCACAGAATTTGAGTGAAAAGTACTATAACCAGTTATTTCACTCCAGCAACATGTTAAAATCAGCAGCCATAATGACATCATATTTTACCTAACTGACATACACTCACAAGTCAATAACCTATAAGGACTATTAATAATTAGCTCTACACAGCATGTAAAATTCAGAATTCCATGTGATTAAAATGGGCTTTTCGGTGTAACGGACAATTCATAAATTATGTATAATGTGCTACCACCTCATATCTTTCATTAATATTGTTAACACCAGTAAAAGAGCTCAAATATTGTCTCCTAACAACCTCCTGTGAGAATGTAAATATAGAAATGAATTGATTTTAGAGAGAGGAAGGGAAACACTGATTTGTTGTTTCACTTATTTATCTATTCATTTGCTGCTTCTTATGTTCCCTAACCAGGAATTGAACCTGCAACCTCAGCAAATCGGGATGATACTCTAATTGATCTACCTGGTCAGGGCTAATTTAGTACTTTTGAAATACAAATACCAATCACAAAATCAAGACTGAAGGCAAAATAGGGACAGTTTCAGAAAAAAAGATACAGCATGTCCCCGTGGAGAAAATACTGAAGGCCATACTTCAGTGGATGGCAATGGGATTCGGAGGAGGGAGGGAGCGTCAGAGGTCATGAGGGAAAAGGAACTCCAGTTCGCCCACTGGTGTGGCTCAGTGGTTGAGTGTCAACCTTTGAACCAGGAGGTCACGGTTCATTTCCTGGGCAAGGCACATGCCCGGGTTTCCGGCTCAATCCCCAATAGGGGGCATGCAGGAGGCAGCCGATTGCTGATTCTCTCTCATCACTGATGTTTCTATCTCCCTCCCTTCCTCTCTGTAAAAATATCAATAAAATATATTTAAAAAAAAATAAAAAAGCCACTTCTTTAAGACACTTTCCAACCTGGTAACCAATACCCAGGTATTAATAGAAATGCCCTGATGTCCAGAGAGCTGTTAACATATTTCCCAAGATTCTCTAAAAATGGAATCGTGTGGTATGCCTATCATCTTTCTGAGAAAAGGGAGACACTATTTTATACCATTTTTCTGATCTTGTAGCTAAAAGCAAAGTAAAGGCAATATGATTTTCGAGCTATTCTAGCCTTCTCACAGGATAACCACTACAGATTGACTAGTATAGTCCAACTGAGTGTGGCAAACTTTATGCCTCCAATATTAAAATTCTATTAACTTACCAATCATATCTAGCATGACACTAGAAATAATACCAGACCAATATTCTTTATTAGGGATATGCACAGCTCAAGAGGTGGTAAGAAATGGAGTTTTAAGAGAAAACCATAAGATTTCTGCAATTGTGTTGTCACATAAATTTCTGATAAGAGGTGGTTAAGGGAGAAGATAAAAGTTACTTTCCTCAGAGTGAGGCTGCTTAAGAAGAACAATATATTCAAGTTAGATCTAGGGTTGGATTCCAGTACTAGGACTTACTGGTTGACCCTCGTCAATTAATGTAACCCTAAGCCTCAATTTCCTCATCAGTACAACTTGAGTAATACTACTTATTACATAGCATTATTATAGAATAAGAGATATGTATGTATGGGAGAGCTCTAACAACACGTTACTGATGATCCAACTGAATAGTTTTTGAACATCCGTGGAGAAATATGACATCTCAACTGTAGCTTATAACTCAAAGTCCAACTGTAAGAGCCAGCAGAGCTTTCACTATTCTTGCTCACTATCGTTAAAGATCAAGACATGGGAGTTTTTAAAAATTGAGTTCAGTTCTGTGCTTTACCTAAACGAATTTCTAAAAGCCCATGAACAGTCCAATGGTGCTACCATTTAGAGCCAAATTCCTATCTGATTACCATGCCTGTGCTGGCTGGAGTGCAAGGACCTGCACATAGGTACAAGTTTATCAGAATGAGCTACAAATATTGATAATGGGTCTTTAAAAATCTTAGTCTGTCAATTATATGATTAATTGGTATACATTTGTGGTTATTAATACCAACGTTAGATGAACCTTATAGACAGCAGAATCCTCAAATCATAGTACAACTTAATTCAGATGTGCCAATTATATAATTACTAATTAGAGGCTTATATATGTTGGTTAAGTTGAATCAAAAGTAGACTAAATACTACTATATAAAGCACCCACTTTATAATGTTTAAGTAACAAAAATTTCAGATTGGCAACCAAAGCATGAGGGAAGAAAGGAGCAAGGTGGCCAATTAAGTTTTTGTTATCTTTTGGAAGGGTCTAATTTTAACTAATGTGAATAGCCTTTAAATACTTCTGAAGACTTGAATTCTTTTACTCTTGTAATATAGCCTTCAAGAGTGAACTTGAATTTAAATGGCATGCCTGCTTAAGTGTACCAGGTTCAGTGGATTCTACTGCTCTAATCCTGCTTCCTAAAGCAGAAAAAAGGAACCATGTGAACAGCAAGTAAAACAATTCAGGGGCATGCAAGTGAACATCCATTCAGCATTCTCTGCCAGCCTAGCCCACTATTTCCCTACTGACCCCACCCCCATCCAGCTTTACTGGCTAGTATGGTACAAGTTACTAATAGCTAGCCAAGTCTCAGAAATCAAAGAAGGCCTATTTTGCAGTTAGTAAAAGCGTTAGTTTATAAGCCAGCTAAAGAAGTCTTGCTTTTGATTTAACTCGCTCAACTTATCACAACCTTTTTAAACTACCCCCATTTTCATTTTGCCCTTTCCTAATCGAAAGGCAGACGGAAAATCCTGAATGGAAGACTGACTTTTACCCATGATTAGTGAGTCAAATCCAGAATGTACTCCACCCACTGCAGGTCTTGCATATCCCGGTTACCTTCACCCTCTTTCATCTGTTCTTCTCTCTCTTGTGTTTCTTCATTAGCAGTTATCTTAACTTTGTCTTCAGGGGATTTCTCAGTACCCCCCTGGGCTACCTTGGTCTCAAACCCATCTCCAGCTGCCCCAGACTCTTCTAGAGATAGCTTAGTCTCCTCCTGGTTAGGAACCAACTCCGCCCTGCCCTCTTCTAGTCCTGTGCCATCATTTCTTTCTGTTAATCCTTCTGCATTAGTCTCTGGTTCAGGCGTCTCATCTTCTGGAGCTGACAGTCCACTGACTGTACCATCCTTAGGGAGAACTTTGGCCTCCTGCCCAGGATTCTCAGAGCCTTGTGATTCATCTTCTGCAGCCTCTGTTGTCAACTCTGGTG